ACTCTTCTGACACCTACCTTTGGTCACATACAAGTAGAAAAAGTCACAGTAGAAGATGGTTTGTACTACTCCAGATACCACTGCAATCTGGTCGTAGAAATTCTCTGTCTGGTACCGCCTGACCCAATTGGCCAGGTAGAGTGCCCGGTACAGACCCAGGAAGAGCAGGTAGTGTGCCGTGATGGTCTCGGCCTCTCCAGTCTTGCTGATCATGAAGAGCTGGGGCAGGATGGCCACCGATTCCAGGTAGATGGAGAACGTCCAGAGGATCTGAGCCAAAGGGAAACATGACCGGAGGCTGGTCAAGGACAGGAAGGGTCTGGGCAGTATGCTTACTGGAGAAAACAGTTAAGCAAACACAAGAAAGGTAAATGGGTAAATACAAAATAGGTTTTGTTTTTAACAAATTCAATACCCAGTACAGATAGTATGAACATTTCTATAGAATATACTTCTTAATTGTAGTGGAGTATTATATAAACTCACCCTAATTGAGGTCATGAAGGCCAGCATCAGAATCCCCCAAGATGCTTGTGACACAGCCCTGAGCCACTGAATCAGCATCTCTGGGCTGGACTGTGCTCAAGCTGTCTACTAAGCATCTGGGACAAAAGGGCTCAACAGCCAGAAAGGGCTGGGACACCCGCTCTATTGAACGCCATTTTTCGATGTGCCCATTTTCAAGTACAGCACTGTGACTACCTTGTTGCCAATTTCTCTGAAATGTGTAATTGCACATCATCTGAGTAACGGTCATGGTCGTAGCAGAAGGGGAAGAGGCCGGCCAACGTCACTAAGGGTCCAGAGGGAGGGATGTTAGCAAGTGTGCTTACCTTTGGGAATTAGTACTCTCGGTCCCTTCCCTTACCTCCAGGGGAGTGAAACTGTAGTTCTCAAGGAAGGAGAGGCCAATGACTGGGACCAGGAGAAATTCCAGGCGGAACGTGTCATTCTCAATGTCAAACGTCTTCCGAAACTTCCCATAGATCATGTACACGGTGACATAGGCACAGAGGAGAAAAACCACCTAACCAGGGAGAGACACATGTGGGAATCTAGAAGTCTTCCCAACCTAAAGCGGGCTTCCGGCAGCCACCCCCATTGGGAGCCCAGAAAACCTAAGGACTAGTGCTGGGCCATACATGGAAGAGGTGGGACACGTTAAGTCCAGTGGTATGACCCTTTGGTTAAGTACCTCCACCACTCTGACTGGGACTGATGATACTACCATGAAGACAAAGGTGCCCTGGTGTCCTCCATCTGTGGGGCGTTAAGCAAGAAACAAGCTTGGTCTTTGTTGGGGCCATTGAGCTGTGGCATTCCAAGGCTCTTGCCTCAACTGCCTGGATCTGCATCAGTGACTATGAACATTCTTCCACAAGAGGAACACCCCTGGAGTTGGTTGACCAACTATTTTCCAATTACAGTTGCTCTCCTCCCAACGTAAGATCTGGCCTCTATCTAAACTTCTAGGCCAGAACTTCTCAAACTTGAACGTGCATCATAATCATCTGTAGATATGGTTGCCCCCAACACCCACCCCCAGGCTTTCTGATTTAGTAAGTCTGGATGGCCTAAATTTACATTTCTAGCATGTTCCCAAGTGATGCTCACGTGGCCGGCCTGGCAGGGCCACACTGACCTAGAGAACACCTATTTACACGTGAAGACTCAGTTTAAGAGTTACTTCCTCAGGCAGTTTTATCTCATCAGAATC